TTTGATAAGCAACTGTTAATAATCTATTCAATTAATCATCTTAAAAAAGAAGTTTTATTCATTTTTTATTAACAAAACAATTGTTATTTGTCATTATTTTATATATTAATATAATTCAATTTTATTTACTGGCTCAATGGCGCAATCTTTTTAACCATTTCAATAGCATTTAAATACATTTACATTTAGTCATTTAGCAGACGCTTTTATTCAAAGCGACTTACAAATAAGGACAAATTAAATAAAAATTAAATAAATGTAAAAAAATAAATAAATAAAATGTTATAAATTCAAATTAGAATTTTAGCAATTGCTTTTGGAAATTACTTTTTTTTTTTTTTTATATTAAAATTCACCATAACTCGTCCTGCATTGTTCGTGTTACAGACATAAATAACAACGCAAATCAAATTAAATAAGAGCTGTTTTATTACTTTTCCAAGTGATCAGAATTTATCATCTACTAGATTTTTGTCTGGTTTAAAAAAAACCACAGACTTCCACTGAAGGAAGAACTTAAGCCATATAATATATTTTAATATTATTAATATTAATCATTTTTATTTATTAGCTCAAATGGAACAAGTTTGGGGGCAGGAATATCAAGGTTTTTAAGTAATAGCATTAAATATGTAAAAATTCAAATTCACAATTTTTTAGTAATTGTTTTCCATAATTACATTTTTAATTTTAAGCATAAAAATTCAGTGTAACTTGTCTGCATTACAGACATAAATGATATTTTGAATCATATTAAATAGAGCACTAAGTGATCAGACTTTATTATCTATCTGACTTTTTGTTAACTAATTATTTTCTTCATAAAAAAAAAAAAAATCAATCACAGCACAAGAGATTTGAGCTTTCAAATGACATAAATGTAAAAAAGAACCAGAATCAAGAAGCTATTTTAAAACCATAGAGAAATTTCCAGGATGTGCAGTATTTCTCGACAGGCCGTGTAAAGGTGAACGTGTCTGTCATAGAGTAAAAGTCACCTCTTAGTAAATTAGAATAATAAATGCGGCTGACATTCCAATCTGTGAGGGTCACACTGAATCAGTTCAACTCTTTAGTCACACAATTTCTAGATAAGACTAATGGAAGAGCAGCCCTGCCAATCTTAATATCTTACCCTGGGGGAAAAAAACCCACAGACCTCTGCGTAACATAAGATCAGACCGGTCCTCTCCAACCACTCACTCAAAGGTGCATTACTTTCCTTGCCTTTTTAATTAAGTGCACACACACCTCATCAGCCTTGTACACACACACACACACACACACACACACTTCCACAAATTCCATTGTCTCAATGTGTCTTGGTCTTAAATCAATAGTTCACCCAGTAAATTAACAGCAAATTCGACTCTTACACTATATTCCAGGTCTATTCATTCAAAAACCACTGTATCCAGATAACTGAATCAGCGAGTTTAACTCGATATACTGATGAGTCGGATTTGTTTACTTAACCCTCTAGTGCTGTTTGGTCATCTTTTACCTAAAAATGTTTTTTTTTTTACTTCATTGGAATGGTACAAAACGTCCTATTGGCACTTGCTTTGTGCACACACAAAATTCATGGTCATACAAAAAGGTTAAACGGTCCTGAAAAAAATATTTACACTTGTATTGGAAATGAATGGGAAGCAAATTTCATCTAATGGTACTGCGCCCAAACAAAATCTTACTGAAAGCTAATTTTTTAAGATATCAACCTCAAATTTAGAACACAACTTCTTTAGATTTATGGCTTTGGTTTTCGTGCAGTTTTTATGCAGTGTAATACATGTTTTAGAAAATATACATTTCATATAAAATTTTAAAACAGTATTTTTGTGAAATTTTTTAAATAATACATTTAGAAATGTAATAAGAAATTTAATTTCACGTTTATAATCTGCCAAGTGTCTTCTTAAAAAAGAGATCAAACTTAAGTCTGCGATTCAAAGCATTCAAGATGTATGACAGTTTAAGTTGGAAATTTCATTTGAGGTCTATGCTCAAAAAATGGTTAATGGGTAATAAATGAATCACTATTCCGTATAATTTAGTACCATAAAATCCCCTAAAAACACAAAATGTTAAATAAAAAAAACATTATTGAACTAAAATATAGTACATTTCATTTCACTTAAAATTTTTGTATTTTTTTGACTGCCACGTGAGCAGCACCAGAGGGTTACAGTACATCTCAAAAGATAGGGTTCTCAAGTTCAACTAAAGGACAAGATTATGAGTGAATTATGATTCAAATTACTTCAGAGGACTTAGTATATAGTGCACAAGTCATTCATACTACTCTTTAGGTTTTTGAAAATAACTGCTTAAAAAGAACTGCTTCATGCATCATGAATCGGACTGATATGGTTCTCAAGTTCAAGTAAAGGACAAGATTATCAAATACACTGAATGTCTAATTTAATATAGTATATACTTAGCATATAGTGCATGAGACATTTAGACTACTTTTATTGTGCTTTTCGGAGCATGGCAGTCATGGTTACTACGAACAAAACTATTTTTAATTGTTTATTTTGGTCATTCCGTTTGTTCATTGACTCTGTCTCGCTGGTGAAGGGTTACACTCTCTCTGTGGGACTACTGATGACAAGTAGGTGGGTTTTGGCATGCCACATCCTGCCATCCCATCATGCCATGTTCAGACTGGTTACTTCTCAGCTGCAACACCTCACACGACCTGCCGAATATGCCCTCTCGAGCTGCCCAAGTGCACAATCACACACTAATAGAACATTAAGGATTCACTGGAGCACAGTTTTACGGTGGATATTTATAGCAGACGGTGCCTGGTGCTGACGTCAGGACTAATGCCATACGGTTCTCCCCTCCCTTCCTCACACACAGGGTGATTAATGAGGAGCCGCTCACTATACAGAACATGACAGTCCACTGGAGTCTCCCTGTTTAACACAGCCGGTCGCACCAGCAGACAGCTGAGTCCAAATATCATTCAGTTTCATCATTCATTTTCCTGTCGTTCCCTTTCAGAATGCCGCAATGATGGGATTTATGTGTCTGACGTTCATGTGAAATCCGTTCGGGATACACTAAGATTGGTATGGATTAGGATGGTTTACTGGATTGCTGTGGGAGTAGGGATTATGACGTTGAAAAATGTACATCCTTACAAACAAATGTTAAAATATACGTACTGAATAAAATAAAATAAAATAATTAGTTTGGTCAAGAAATAGTTTGGACAGACGTATGCTATCTTTGCATATATCTTGCATATTTCAGAAAGTTTTTTTAAGACATTACTATTTAAAAAAAAAAAAACTTTTTACTTTTAGTATTGATGCATTACATTTTTAATAGTCACAGTAAAGAATTTTTCATTGTTACAAAAAAATATATTTTCAAATAGATACTGAAGAATCCTGAAGAAAAAGTTCCAAAAAAATGTTGTTTTCAACACTGATAATAAGAAAAATGCTTTCTGACTAAACACAGATGTGAAAAGCCTATATATGTGGCAGCACAACTAGCCACTTTAGCCAATCCACACAATTTTTATATAATATATGATTTTCAAGAATGACACCACACCCTGGAGACAGACAGAGCATATATTCTCTTAAAAATAAACTGTAAGGCCACTTCTTTTCATGAGCCATTTTCTGTATAGGTTTCCTGAGTTGCTATATGCTCTCAAATATAAAGGCTATCTGCATCTATGGTTTCACGAAAAACTTTAAACATCCTTGGAACTTTTTCATTGCACAAAAGGTTCTTTACAGTGGAAAAAAGTGCTTTTGGGAACCAAAAAATGGTTCGTAGCAGTGAAAACCTCTATTTGAAACTATACTGATAAGAATTTATGGTTCTTTGGAAAGTAAATAAGTTACATTTTAAGGTTCTCGTATAATCATATTGGTTCTTTAGCTCTTAAAAGAAACAGAAGGTCTACTAAATAACTAGAATGTGAAACTTCTTAGCAGGGTTTAAATAGGTTCTCCTATGGCTTTTGTGACCTAAAAGCCTTTTGGCTCCAGCTGGAACCTTCATTTTTGAGAGCGTGGTCTTTCAGTACTGAGAAGCCTGCTGTGATCTGTAATAGAAGTGTTGGTTTGACACCATTGCTCCTAAACAAATCAATAATCCTATCTAGCCCTGCCAGCTGTGCTTATGAGTGGAAAACACATGCACAAAGCACTTTATGTGACATAATCACTGCATAATTCCTGCTAACAGAGCATGACCATTCACCCAGTTTCATTCTAACGTGCTTTTAGATAACAGCTGGTAAAGAAAAAGCACTTTTCACAAAAGCAGTTAAAGCAGAACCAGCATCGATTGATTGAGAGTAGATATCGGCCCATACTGATCGATCGAGGTGTGAGTGACTGTGTGATTCCCTCCAAACCTGATGGCGGTCTTCTCCATGGCATCAGGACTGTCGACAGAGGGCAGGTCATCAGCTAGAATCTCCTCCGGGCTCCGCGGGTCAATCAGGATACCCCGCTTGTCTTTGTCCTTGATCCCGATGCCTGCTGTGATGGCGTTCCACAAAGCATTCTGGGACTTGGAACCTGATGCAACAATCAGAGATCAAAAGCTCAGAGGGGTGCAGATGACAGAATGCAAGACCAGGGCAGAGAGAGAAATAGAGATAGAAAGACAAAGGAAGAGAAACAATTCTTGCCAGTTTCCTGTTTTGCAAACATGCAGTCAAGGGGTGAAGGTTTAGCTGGTTAGTCACATGATATTAAGTGATTGGGTTAAATAAATATTTCCACAACTGAGCGCCTGTTGGCAAAGACGGCAGGATGCAGGTTGCATACTTTTAGAGACAACCTGAATGATTTCTAACACCTTTCACTGCTGTTATGATTACAGATCAGTGTGTCTGATCAATGGAGACTGTGAACTTTTGTGTGTCACCCTCATACCCGTTTTCTCACTGTGACAGGAGACAATTTTAAAGTAAAAGTGAAGTCAACAACAAAGTTGCAATTTGATTCCACATACTCACGTGCGAATCGTGCCAGAGGTCTCGCACTGCTCTCTCCGGTTTCATTCGCCACTGTGGAGAGAAAGAACGAAACGCACAGATGGATTTGTGATGTAGACCTTTCTTCAACAATCACGATGACTCACCAGAAACAGTTTTTCTCACCACAAATCTCAAGTTTTTTCAGAAACGGTCATGAAAGTACGAAAATTACTTTTCGGTTTTATGTGAAAATCAATGCTGTTGTTTATGTTGTTTACCTGATGCATATTCCTGCATGCATTAAAATGAAGCATAAATCACTTCACTCAGTTTGTCATTTGCATATCACTCATGAATATGCAAAGGATATGGTAATACGATAACAATAAAGTAAATGTATAGATATATACACAACATACACAATACAAGGGTGGAATATTTTAGAATTTTGCCATTTGTCCACAATGAGAGGCTATGGAAGCCTGTTTCCACCACTGAATAAATAAAAAAAAGTAATTGCGACTTCTTATCTCGCAATTCCAACTTTTTTTCTCAGAATTGTGTGATCTAAACTCACAACTGCGAGTTATAAAGTCAGAATTGCAAGATATAAAGCCAGAATAGCAAGACATAAACTCGCAATTCTGACATTATTATTTGCGATTGCGAGTTTATATCTCACACTTCTGAGAAAAAAGTCAGAACTGCGAGATGTCGCAATTGTGAGAAAAAAATGTCAGAATTGTGAGATAAAAAGTCACAATTACCTTTCTTTCTTTTTTATTCAGTGGCAGAAATGGGCTTCCATACTGGCAGATGAGAATGAGAAATCCTTTGGAAAGAAAAATCATAAATGAAATCTCAATTGTTTTTCCTAAACATAGCTAACTGAAACTACTGAAGTCTGCTTCAAATCAAAGGTTTCTCATAAGAAACATAATCTAGTAATCTCACATGCCTCAAGGGTTTCAGATGAGATCTAACAATGTCTCAAACTGTGCTCAGATGCTAAAATCTGAAAATGTCTAGAATTTCTTTGTGAACTCAAAATTTCTCATTAAAGTCTAAATCATCTGGCTATGCCATCCACATTCATTACCTATATAACTACCATATTTACTTCACCTCTTATTTTAGAAATTGAAAGCAGAGTTGATACTTACATGAAACATGACTAAAATCATCTTTGAAACTATGAGAAAGAAAAAAAGTCAGCAGTTTTGTGCTGTTTGATTTATAGACAGTGAATAAAAAAATAAAGGTCACAGATAAATGTGTGTGACATATGTGTGATACCACAGTCCTCCTACATTCTCTATAAATGCAGACATTAATCCTGCTGTGGTTTAATCGCTGTCAGCTGCTGAAGGGACATCAACCATGCAGTTTTTCTGTGTTTACATGAAGAGTTTCTACTGAAAAAAGCTCCTTGTTAAACTGTGCCATGGCCTTCACGCTCCTGAGCAGTAAAATTGTCAAACAGCCTCAGGATGGATGAGTAGAAAAAGCCATATGAGGTCAAACACGCAACTTGCAGCTGTGTTGTTTACATAGAGGAAGTGCACTGCTGTAAAAACTGAACGAACAGCTCCCCCTGCAGGCCACCTAACGACGCTCATTAATAACAACTGCTTGCTGCAAACCAAATCCACAAGAGCTTTAGAAACCCTAATAACAAAACAGAAGACATCTAGAAACACGTCAAATTAGCAGCTATGAGACTGAACCTGTGAATTAGTGGAGTCTGATTCGTGAACATAGGGTATGTACAACCATAGGGTACAACAAATGAGTCTGGGATATCGCGCTCTTGCGCCATCTGCTGAATACACCTATATTAACGCCTGAAAGGCCAAAAACGCATGACGACGTGGGCGGGGCTACCTGCCCACAGCATATAAATGCAGTCGCATGCGTCATTCCCTTTGTTCTTCAGCTCTTCACCGCGCTGTTGTTGGCACACCGTCACGCCACATTATCAAGGCGTTATCAAGTTTTTAGCTCAAGTTTAGCACAGCTAACAAATGGCTAATAAACTTTCTCATGAGAAATGTCTGCGCATAAGCGGAGCATTACTTACCCCTATCCTATGTAGGGATGCGCTTTTGAAGCAAGCTTTTACAACAAACTGCGTTGATGCTTCGAAGCTTTTGACAGTGCTCTACTCCGCCATCTGGTGGTCAATAAAAATTCTTCCACCAACTGTGTCATTTAGATGTTTTGTTAATTGGGATGTCATTGTAAGATTTAATTGTCTATTTAATAAGCATATGTGCCATAGCAAGGCCGCATGTGTGTGTGCAGTGATAGAGTTCCCAACATTTAGTGTATTTTGCACAATACAATGACAATAAAGACTTTGTGCATCAAACTTGTGTCTTTTCACCTTCTAAATAGAATGTTTAATACGCCAATAAAAATCGATGTGCTTTGTATTTGAGCCTAGCCTGAAGTGTCAGTGAGCCAACGAAGCTTCGTTTTCACAGGTCACGTGACAGAGCCTCATTTCAAGCAATGTTCCGGAACACTGGCTGCGTTCGAAATCGCATACTCAATGAGTAGGTACTTAATATATCGAAATCCTCCGACATTCTTCGTTACAAATCCTCGTTTTGTACTTCTAATAAGTGACTGTTGTTTTGTTTTGATCTCTCCCCTGTGCTTCCGTGTTCGTCACTTCTGAGCGGCGCATGTGCAACGCTGAACCGCCCGGAGCTGCTTCCGTGTACAACTGTTGGCGCAAGCTACATTAAAGTGATTATTACGTTTTGAATATGGATATTTTTCTTACAAAAACGCAGCGATCCGCTACAGGAGAAAAAATTGTGAGTTGATTTAAGTTTTTATATTTTTAACCCTACTTATATGACCCAGTTTTATCCTTAAATATATTATATTTTATTATGAAAACCCCAAATTGTTGTCTTTTGAATATGTTGTTAATTTCTTTATTTTATGTTTAAAAATTTTCATCCGCAAGCAAAACCGGCTTAAATCTTTGTTTTCTTCTTTTTCTTGTTGAATTTAACTCTCTTTGTTTCATCCCTCAGGCTTATAAATAGCAACAACAACAACAAATGGAATTTTTTGATGCATTATGATTATATGAATATTATGAATATATATAGATTATTCAAAGATATTTACCCTTATAATTGTGCCTTTTTTTCTGTGTATATATTCTCATACTATGATGTACGCAAACCCATTATGTTTTCTATTATGATTGTTCATTGTTAAAGATACAACCATCTTTCCCTGAGCTTTTATGTAATTAAAAGTTCTGCAGTAATAATAATAAAATGAAGACAAGAGAGACAGGTGCACTATCGCCTCATAGCATCAGTAACTGCACAACCCTACCTAGTATGGTTTTCTGCAGAGTTTGCAATGTTTGCACAAAGGAGACGTCGGGCAACTTGAAGATCTGGCATTTGGAGAAGACTGCTGATATTATACTCGAAAAATGTAAGTATTGCTACTTAAAAACTAAGATTGCCCCAGCATTGCTAGCCCACGCCAAAAACTTACAATAATAATGATCAATGCTGACCAATAATTAGTTCATTTCATGTATAATTTTTAGTAAAGCAAGCTAAATTTAATTTGTTTTGTCATATGCCACAGCTATGCATGAATACACACTAGACAAATGCAGTAAGGGGAATACATCTCAATTTTCAGTCAAGTAATGAATTAATGCATAAGTTAATGAAACAATTATATTTTATTTACTGACAACAGGAAACATGAATAAATGAATAAAAGAATAAAAGTAACCATGAAAATAAATAAATACAAGTCAACAACACATGAAACAAAGCTTTATTCAAACTGATTCTAACAATGGGATGGAAAACGGACATTGAGGCTGTCTTTGCCTGAGTGCACAGAGAGGATGAGGAAGACCATGATGACGCCCCCTGAACCACACAATCTTGAACAAGAGTGGGAGAACACATGCGGGACAATCTGGCTGCCTCTCCAAACATTCGTGTGCCTGCTCTTTATGAGCACGACTACCTATAAACATTTACACAGAGTAAAACGTTTTACATTTCATGTTGTCAGCATTCCATTTCTTGCAAAATTTCATTTCATATGCTTACAATTACATGCTAATTTTTGATATAGCTTCATTACTTTTGTGGTGTAGTGAACTGGTCAGCAGAAAGTTGCTGGTTCGATCTCTGCAGCCGTCACCATCAGTGCGTCCTTCAGCAAGCCTCTTTACTCTAGGTTGCTCCAGGGGGATTGGGGGTCCCTGTAATAAGAGCACTGTAAGTCACTTTGCATGAAAGCATCTGCCAAATGCATAAATGTAAATGTGATTTTTGTAAATCCCTTTTTATGTCTTGGGCACAAACATTCAATAAAGCTGCTAATTTCTTAAAGTTTATTTCTTCAAAGTACTACTATAATATAAATGCATACATGTATTTCATACAATTTCTATTTGGGGGGTTTAAAGGGTTAGTTCACACAAACATATAGATTCAGTTACTATTAACTTGCCTCAACGCTGTTCAATCCTTGTGGGGTTTTTTTTCTGAACACAAAAGGTGATTTTGGTCAAGTTTGTCCTGCTGGATTCTGTTCCTACAATATCAGTCAATGGAGCCTGACTTTCAGAAGCTTCATGACATTATTTGATGATGCTTTTGAAGCTTCTGAAACTCTCCATTGACTCCATTGACAGATGAAACCAGCAAAACAAACTTGACCAAAATCACATCCTCAGTGTCTTTTAGGCTTTTTCTAGATGTTCTCGCTGGCTCAAGGGCTCACTGAGGATGAATAGACCACAGCAGCATCCGGCCCAGATGAGGCAACAAGGGCAGGTGGAGTGATGGAGCGTCTCATCCATGTCACTGGACCATTTCCAGGATGCTGTTGTGGACTTCTCCATCCTCACTGCTCACACCAGTCTACAGACATTTCAGATCCTACAAAGATGCACAAATATAATACAAAAGCGGTCATTTTAACAGCACAATGTAATTTGATTTCTGTATTAGAAGTAACAAAATGATCTTACTTTATATTTTTGTTTGAGGTTTTCCCTTTTTCCACAAATGCTGCTGTCACCTTTACTTGCAGATCCTGCTCCACCACAAAAGCTCTGCAGCAAATGCACAGAAATCAAGAATCAGAAAAGTGCTATAATAGCTCTGTTTGAAATTACAATAATTAAAATAAACTACAACAATGTTTTATTCATTTCAGTAGTATACTCACTGAGAGCCTTTGATGGCAGCATTCCTTCATCAGTCACTCTGCACCAGATAAACACACGTGTGTCTCATCTGTCCCTGTAACATCCAGACAAGAGTCAAGTCACCTCTGTGATTTATGTGCTCAATACTATATTTCAATGTTGAGGTAGTTGCTGATGTGTTAACTCACTTTTATCCAACACAAATGTTCCTCAATTTATCAACAGTACTAATGGACAAATAAAACAGATAACTTATGTTTAGTTACTCTATGTAGATTTGTTTATTTACATTACATTCATCTAATGTAAGCAGTGTTGACAACAGTTAATTCTACATAATAGCACACATCACTGAATCAGATGTCTGTTTTATGTCTATGTGTGTCAGATATTAAATAGACATTTAGTAATCTTTAAGATGTATATGGTTTATGTAAATTCACTTTGGAGACTTCACTTTGTTCGCTATACATAATAAAACGTGTTTTTACAGAAAAATCACAAATATACTGTAACGTTACTGTCTGGCGTCTAACACCTTCAACAATTGAACAGTTTACTCTACAGTAGTTCAACAAATGCGTGTTTTGGTTTGTAATACTCACATTTGTAAACACCCTCGTCGCTGTTCTCCTTCACATTCGATAATGACGTATCCTCTCGCGTGGCATCCTGGGATTGAAAAGTATCCATCGATGAGCACTTCAGAATCTGGGCTGAAGCAGTAGGACATCCGGGATTTCTCACCTACTCTTTTATGAATACTGAGGTTTCGAACATACTTCTTTCTTCACGTACTCTTTTCTCCTACTATATAGTAAGTAGGCATATTCGAACGCAACTTAAGTGTACGTATGTCCGAATCTCGCGAGAATTAGTGCACCAGCCAGGTAATTCTCGCCTACTCCTTTATGACTACTTATGACTCAAACATACTTATTCGCTTGCCTACTGCATTTTGCCTACTGTATAGTAGGGAAGTATGCAATTTCGAACGCAGCCACT